ACACCAGAATCAGGAGTCAAAGGTGTGACTCGAAAGCGGGTCCAATGTGAACTTTGTGGTTTATGCCGCTTTTTGGATGCGTTATTGTCGGCCGGCATTCAGCGTCACTGGACCTTGATTGGCTACTGGTCCACAATTTCGGCCAATCAGAGTTCGAGTTGATGGTGGACGTGTGGGCCCAGTAGAGTGTGGGATATACTTGGATGTACCAGCGCCTAACTGCTAACCGTAACACGGTTTAGGCGCTGAATTCAGCCCAATATCCGGGTTGGATTTGTAGTTTACGTTGTCTGTCATTTTGATTGATTCATATTTAAGTATTGATGTACAACCTTGCTTACTGGGCTTTGGCTCATGAGCTTTATTTCTGTTTTCCATCCACAGAAATTGTCGTGAACACCTGCCTTCGGAGAATCACTGTCCCCTGGTGCTCCCATAGCATGCATATTACAGATTTCAGTGAACAGTCATCGCTGCGGCCCCCCCGTGATACATCACAAGCTCGTTGCTAATCAACATAAAAACTAGTGACTGTTTTTAGTGCCTCAACGGACTGCAATTGTGATGCTGAGATGGATGGATACCATATATGGAATTATCGTCAAAAAAGAACGGTGGTTCTTGCAGCCATCTTTCGAATAGCTCCCGAGCAGTCGATTCCGAGTCGATGCTCGTCGCAGACGAAGGATTGCGACAGCCGCTGAACGACAAGAACAAAACCGACCCGGGAAACTTGGTCAAAGCCTCTATCCTGTGTATCAATCCGTGACTCCTCCAGTTGTGTACCGATTATCAACTGTTTCCCGCAGCGCCGGCTTTCAGCGTGAACCTTCGAGCCTCTATCTGTGTATCAATCCGTGACTCCTCCAGTTGTGTACCGATTATCAACTGTTTCCCGCAGCGCCTTCTTTCAGCGTGAACCTTCGCATCACGTAGGCTGTCGGCTACTGAGTGCAAACCAACTGTGGGCCCAACAGGATCACGCGACTCTGCGCCACTGAGAGTCATGTGGCTCTCCAGTACTGTTCAAGTCTGTTGTTCCTTCTGGAGCACACAACTTGATTTCGATTACACCATGGCATAAACGTTCCTGGCAGCTCGCTTTTCTTCGGTTCGTCCCCTGCAAGTTTGGAAGAAACACGCCAGTCCACCGTTTTTGTACAGCTATTTTTGCTCAGTAATACCGAACTGAGTAGCTCAACTGGTTGCTTAACTACTCTCTGTAATAAACCAACGACATACTGGTAGTGAACACGTGGATGGGGCATGGCAAAATGTGCTAGCGCCGTTCATTACTGTCCATCCGAATTCTCCAACACGTTCAACTGACTACATGATATCTTCGAGACCGCTAGTCCTGATCGACGCTAGGAATTCCATACCAGTCAGCAAGCACGGCGGCGTACGCGAATTCCTCAAACTCCAAATAGCAAGGGGTCTAGAAAAAGGACCAAAGCTTTGGTGGACGTCGGAATCTCAGATGGAGAAGACTTCTGCTACCGAAAACAGCCGTGTCCTATACCCATCACTATGACGGAATGATTATAGAAAGCGATGTGAGAAACGCAGCCCGCACGACTGGGCCATGTCTAACAATGTCTTCAACCATTGATGTCGCCAGTCTCGGGGTCCCCATCCAGCAAGACAGCAATGACCAGCGCAGCTGAGTTTGCTGGTACTGGCTTTTATACTTCGCTGCCAAGTCATTGTTTGACAACCTTTGGCTCTCCTCCACCCTTCAAGTGGTTGTGCGAAAGCAGCCCTCCGAGGAGGTCGATCGATTGACATACGAAGCACATGACCAATTCAGCGCAACCGATGCAGTGTGCTCAGTTTATCTATCGAGGGCGAGTCGTCTCTCCCGAATACCATTCGACGTACTTCAGCATTGCTGATCCGGTGTTCCCACCACACTCGGGAAATGCTCCAAAGACATCGATGGTAAAACACAAAAAGTCTCGATGTCCTTGGCGTGCAGCGTCTAGGTTCCTGATTTATATACTAGTATGGAGAGCACCGCAGTATTGTCAACTTGACCCTTGAAGGACGAACTGATGTCACGCCTATGCCGCAGGTGATGCATGTTCACAAACTCTGTTCTGGCTTTCCGGATTTGGACGAAAATATCAAATTTCTGAGACCACCGGGACTCATACAGCTGTCCAGATAGACAAGTGTCTATTATCTTAATCGGCTCATCCGTAAGCATGAGGTTGGGGTCTGAGCCCACCCGGACTTTGCAAGTGTGACGCGTATGTCCAGCTGTGAGGCAGAGTTATTTAGATTATTTAATAGTGTTTTCATTATAATGGCGTCATATTCAAGAAGAGCTATATCGTCTACGTGCTCAATTTCCGTAAGCGAACGCTCCGGGAGCACTTTTGACGCGTATTCCAGCTGTGAGGCAGAGTTATTTAGATTATTTAATAGTGTTTTCATTATAATGGCGTCATATTCAAGAAGAGCTATATCGTCTACGTGCTCAATTTCCGTAAGCGAACGCTCCGGGAGCACTTTGACTCCATAGGTATTACAGGCTGGTAGTTAGCCTTCCATAATCGCATCAATGACGAAGTTGAAGAGAAGTGGTGAAAGAGATACCACTTGATGTCGTAAACTCAATTGAGAGCTTCCCGCAAACCTTCACACGTCCACGGGAGTTGGCGTACAGCGCCTTAAGGAGGGCCAACAATTTATGGGGAACAACTCTGCTCCACAGATACTGCCATAGTTCCTGACGGTCCACAGAGTCAAAGGCAGCTGTACTGTTTCACCTCTGTTCTCCAACTTTGCCATTGATTTCACTGACCCCGAGATGGAATGCGTGAAAATTAGAGGAATTTCTCTAATCGCGCAGTCCAGATTTTTTTCCTTCAGCTCATGGCTTCCCCTCTTGATCGACCGTCAATTTTTTCGTCTACCGTATCAAAGGAGGTCGAGATAGCTCATTGGTCAAGTTGGGATCTACTGGCTGGAAGTTTTTCAGTTCGAATTCAACCTCTTCATCTCGACTATCCCTTTTTGACTTGTGTTTCCTTTGGGCGGCACGGCAGTTGGGCACCAAAGAGGCGTTACAGCTGAGTGATTATTTTTTCTTACTGTTTCCAATGCGTGGGTATTCGTCCACTCTTCCCAGATCATGGCTAAGGCAACTGTGGCAGTTATATCCATCAGGGAACGTGATGATGAAGATGATGAGCTAAGTTCAGTTGATCGTTATGCTCGTGCTCGAGAAGCCTAGACTACAGAATGTGCTTGTGGTGTTATACTCGTCTTCCAGAGCAGTGAATCTTTAAGGTGGTTTTTCTGACAATTTTTTTATGAAGCATACGGTCGGGGCTTCTAACCGCTTGCTTTGCTTCTCAGACGGAATTTCCACCTGAGACCAGGGAGGTTTGTCCTGTTTCTTCTATAGTTTACGAGGATGTTAACGCAGGATAAAGCTAATATCAACTTTTGTGCCCCTGACCTCCTCAGTCTACATCTGAATTTCATCCTGGATAGACTTTCATGAGAGGAGGCTACGTCGCTTTGTACATAAAGCTACATTTTTGAGCGTCTTACGAATAAATGTATGCACACTTGATTCTCAGGGTTTGACAGAACTCCACTACCTGAAAACATACAACTAATCTGGGACTTCTGAAGTCCGGAGGTTGTATCCTGTGCAGTGATAGCCGCACTGCTATAAGAAATTGCCGTCTAGCTTGGTTGTTTCTGCACAGTGAGGCAAAGCCGGTGATAGGTGCCGGTGGCGCATTTTAACGATACGAGCCGGTGCCGGGATATCTGTATTAGCACCCTTTCGACAGACCGGTTTATTCGCGGCTGCGACGGGCTTAACAGTACTTAGGCAAGTGATCAAAACGATAAGTCGTTGTGGAAAATATAGTTGTACGACCATCAGGTGATCCTTCGATCATATGACCTAAATAATTCTCCAGCCCGTGTTATCTGCGTGCGGTAGACAACGATATTGTGGACAACCAGCCATGTATTTGATGGCACTATAAAAAGCTACTTTGGAACGAGAGATGAGAACGTGAGACAGGCCATTGTTGGCCTCAAGGACTTTTCATATTTAGGCCAACTATGACCTTCCAGACTGTTCACAATGCATAACAGTTAGTATAGGGTTGATCTCTTCTGCATATGAGAAATACTGACTGAAGCACTTGGCAATGACTCAGAAAAATCATGGAGAGAGCGGTTGTACGTGAGCGTCGGTCAAAAGTGTGCAGGTGTTGGCGACTGCATTCTAGCACTTTGGTCACATCGCTCATTACGGCAGTCAACAGTCGAGAGAGTTTACCAGGAAGGAGCTTTGTACGGATGAGGTTTGGAAATATGAGACATTAAAACAAATCGAACAACGCTATTAAAAGCCGTCTCCCGCAATAGTGAGTGGATTTAGGAGAGACGAGAGCTTCGGGCCAATGTTTTCGGTGTGCACACGATAGGGCTTCTATCGAACCGAAATTTTTATTGGGCTTACTCTGCAGGTTATTCGGGTTTGCGGTGGGATTTTTCTAATTCGACCAGGAGACATAAAAGTGCACAATGGTGAGCAAATTTTTGACCGATGGACATTGACGTGTTGGCAACGGTCACAGGTGTGAGGTATTATCTGACCACATTGTCAAGGGGTTTGAAAATCCAATAACAAACTCTAGATGAATGTTTGGCTACTTTGACTACTTTCAGCGTATAAGCAAATACTGGACTACTAGAATGATACGTCTGAAACTAGATTGTAGGTGTAACGGCCATTCACAGCAACTACCCTGTAGAACCAATGTTTTGCGTCTTCCCCAAATGTAGTTCATCTGTCTCTCTCTTTCATTCACGCCATGCACTTGTGTTCACCAGAATTTTTCCACAGACCCTCATTTCTGTTTCAGACGTTTTCTTTTGGTGGTGCAGCCACTCATGGCTTCAATCCGACCTACAGAGGTTATTCGTCTATTTAATTGAGTAACAGTTTTATCTTCGAATGACAGTACTTCAATTCGAATGAGTATATCTCGGATTATGAATCGGAGACGGCCAGCCAGGCGGACGCCCTTAGTGACATAAGGTTAGCCATTGTGCGTCACCACCAACCCTCTGAACCCAATGGGATAGCCACACAGAAGTTCCTCCTCTAAAAGATCCAGACCTTATAGCCAAGCCTACTTCTGCACATCGTTCATACGGAAGTTCCAAAGCTGTACTGGATCAGGAACAACGAAGGTTTACCGTCTTAATTTTCCCTACGTGTATTTATTTACGCTTCGTTACAAAGGGTTCACAATGCGGCTGTTCGCCACCAGTTGCTGTCTTTGGATGCTGTATCCTTTTACACTTTATTAACCTTGCTTCTTGCTGGTCTTAATCCCATTTGCTGACCTTAACTTTCCTATTGTTCAGTACGATCGCCATCGTAAGTTGGTGAATGACTATCTGCAATATTATGGAGGGTCCTGGTCGGACTTCAAGCGCGATGAGTAAGTGTGTTCTATCAGTGGTTATAACATTGTCGTTACTATTTTATTATTATTACTGTTATTATTTACAGCACCACTGATCGTCGGGATATTGATGTTATTCGCGAACATGGACGCTTTCTTTGGTCCGACAAGGATGAACCGAAAAATTGGTAAGCTAGAGGCTGCATTCCTCTCAATTCAATTCAGTTTATCAGCTATAAACCGTGTAACGTAGGTACGTTGGTTCCAGCTGCTACAGTTTCAGTCGCCGGAAAGTGGGAGTGTGTGACGCAGCAAAGCATTATGGGTGATGGTATGTTCAATTAGTTCGGTACCGTGTAGCTGCGCATTGAACGTGATAGCTTTGATGCATGAACGCCACTGACTGCGATTGGGCCATTTCTACTTGTGTCATTAACTAGCGGATAGTTGAGTCCCAGGGTCCCCATCCAGGGAGGCGGTAGTTTTTGACCCGATTAAGATTCCTGGTTAGTGTTTCCGTATTTCGTTGCCAGGCCACATACACCGGTTGGACGTTTCCACTGTGCACAGGGCCGGGCGAAAAGGGCTCTGCGATGCAAATGGTCTTCTGGCATGTGGAGTACATGCCTTAAGAAGCGTAAGCTATGAAGCGTGAGTAATTCATCTATCGCGGGAGAGTTCATTCTTCCATCTGGCATACCTCGGCATTGCTACTCTGATGTTCTTACCAGACCCGACCGATGCTCCGGAGACACCGATGCTCAAATATCTCTCATATGTTCTCTGGGCGTAGAGGTCATGTCTCATCCACAAAGCAGGACGGAACGCACCGCTTTGAACGCACCCTGCCCTTGGCAGACAAACTCCCGTCACATCGACGCCATAGATGTCGGGGGTTGGCAAAAGCTGCCCTGGCTTTCCCGGTTCGAGGAATAATATAATCTCCAGCCAGTCCGCCGGAACGTATACGACTACCCAGGTGGACCAATTTATCTGTGATGTCGATTGACTTGTCTGCAAGCATGAGGTGTGGGTTTGATCCTGCACAGTCTTGTAGCAGCACTTTGCAGTTTGCAGGTGTGAAGCGCATGCCAAACCGTTTGGCAGAGTCATTTGGGTCAGTAACAATCGTTTACATTTGGGAAGGATCTGAACCAAGAAGAGGAATATCGTCTGCATACTCAATGTCTGTGAGGGAACTTCCCGGGAGCCTTTTGACTCCCGAGGTTTCGGAGGTAGGCAGAGGAATTCCAAGCAGCATGTAAAGTTGAAGGGGAAAGAGGACAACCTTATCTTACGCCACTGAACGTGGTGAACTCAGGCGAGAGATTCCCGTACGCTCATACGCGCCCACAGGAGTTCGCATACGAGATGGACCAAGTGGTTAGGGCGCGAATTTACTGCCCAGACGGTTCGTAGTTCACACCCGACCTCTGCCTCTCGACTTCCCCTGTCTAGGCTGGCAGTATCCCGGCGCTCGTGCTTCCTTATGGCTGCATGGCAGCTAGGCACCAGAAGGGTGCTACAGTTGAACGATATATATCAAAAGGTGACAGCAAGCTAGCTGGCTAAATTCGTGTCCTATCCAACCATGCACAGGGTGTCACGTGAACCCTACCCAAGAATACGCGACGATCCTTCAGCTCTCAAATTACTACTGAGTACTTTCATTATGTGTTGCAAATCTTTCGCCTCTCCTCCATGAGCTTTTTGCCAGCAGGCATTTAGAGTGGGAAACATAGCTTTTTCGGGATTAACCACATTGACAACTCAAGCTTTATCTTCTGTTCTGATGAATCTGATTCATTATCTAGTGCTGACTTATGGCAATGTCCAGTGTCGCAGCCAGCTAACCTACTACGTATGCTATGAAGACGTCCGTGTTCACATATTTGGAGACGTTTGACGTCTTCAAATTCGCATAACTCTCTCGGAATATGATTTCGGTACCCAACTTTGCCGTCCCTTGGCGAGTGCACAATGATTTCGATAATGAAATTGGACGAAGCCGGGAAAAGGGGACATCCTTTTCGAACTCCTCAGTTTATGGGTAAACTGCCTGACAAATTATTCTAGATCCTGATGCGGTTGGAAGTGTTGGGAAAAGGGCACGAAAACCTTCAACGTAGACGAACCACAAAGTCGAAAGCTTCCTTAAAGTGTAGGATAACCGCCACAGTTGGTTTCGGGTTTGCGTGACGCTGCTGAAGCATTTGGTATAGTCATTGCTTCCCCTACCTAACCGAAATCCTATCTGGCCGTCTAACTTATGTCTCGCGTGAAGTGGTGAGACGTCACAATGCTAAGGAAACCAGAAGTCGCGTCACGACCAGGGTAGGGCTTAATATCTTACGGTTGAAACAGCTGTTATGGGAACCGGTTTTGAATAGTTGCAATGGTTGAGTGATCCCAGTTTTCGGAAATACTATTTTGCTTCGGAATCGGTTTAAGCAATCAGCTCAAAGCAGCACTCACTGCTGTCATTGTATAACGATTGTAGAACCTCATCTGACCCTACAATAAGATGACCTTTCAAGGCACATGGTAATAATACTCAGAAACTGAGAGTTGCAAACCACGGCTCGAGTTGAAAGTGTCGAACGAGTCGTTAGCACAAACAGAAGGCTAACTAAATTACTGTTGAAAGTATTCAGCCCAGCGGTCAAGACGCTCGTTCTTGTTGTATATTATCTTTCACATATCGTCTTTGATGACATAGTTAACATATTGTTTTCCGATCCCATTTTGTGTTTTCGAACTTTCTCAGTTGCACCGGCTTCTATTTCTGGAGTCTTTTGAATCAGTCAGTTTTCCATATCCACATGCAGATTGTTCGAGCTGATGTCCAACATGCTTTTTAGCTCAAATATTCTGCTGAACCTCTGAAAAATTACGACTTATCATCAAGGAAGGACATTGATTATTCCGGAACTCGACGATTATTTGGCAGGTACTCACAGGTACGGCACATGCCTTGTTCCCTGCCGGCGGGGCTTATTTCGTCCAAAATGCGCTTGGTATCTACTGATGGCGCAGCTTTTAAGTATTTTCATAGGCCTCTCTGATAAGCTTGTGTGGTTTGTTGGCCAGAAGCGATCCGGAAAGTTTTTAGGTTTTCAAGCGAAACTTCCAAAGCTTACACTGGAGACGAACTTGAGCTGAATCAAAGTGAGTAACCCAGAAAGATTGACATGAGAGAATCGTTCAGCTGTAAGACCCTTTCGGTACCTAGCCGCCATGCTACCCAACGGAAGCACGAGGGCTGTGATACTGTCAGGTTGCCCAAGCCTAGACAGGGGAAGTCGAGAGGCAGTGGTCGGTTTCGAACCGCATATTAGAATAGAGCTTTGTGATCGGCTGCTAATGGCTGTGTGGTCACTCTGGATCTCCGTTTGTTTATCAGTTAGCTCCACTATGTCTATTGTTTCTAAATTCAGTACTGCTGAGGAAGAGTTGGAAATCACCAACTTTAGAATAATGTCGTTTTTATTATTTTACGTCTTGCGTGCAGGGCATCAAGCTGTGTCTGACATGAGCTGAGAAGTCCTACTGATATTCAGATCTCTAGCGACTAACTCTATATCGGATCTTCACGTGTTAACTAGGAGAGTGGTTAGCTTCCGGCATACTTCCCCTTTTCAGAGCTATCGTCGCTTGGTACATGTGCAGGAATCAAAAGTAACGGATATTATATCGGTTTGTATGTGCTTTGAAGGTAACTGTCAAATTGAGAGCTGAGGGCTATAGCAACCCAGGCGTGACACATCACAGCAGATCCAGAATCGCCTGAATTTTGTAGGCGGTAGCGTCAAGATAACTAAGGCGCCGTATGTTTTATCGTCGAATTCCGGTCTTGTTCTGGTGTTTCGGAAACGCAGCGGACCTCCGTTGATAAACTGTCAACAGTAAGTGCTAGAGCATCTTATTGGCCTATTGGCTTGAGAGTTCGCACGCTATGCAGGACCGATATCTCAGAGACGGACTTGAAATAAGCAGACGTAAGCTGTGGTGTGCTGGATTGATGTGCTTGCGTAGCTGGAATTTACAAACTAGTGATTTTTAAGTGTGACAAGAAAGGAGTCAGCAGTGGTCTGTTTTCACCTGTTCTTTCGGCTGTATGCAGCGAGTAGAGTGACCTGGATCTTGATACCACATGACAGCCTGTATGGCATGAGATTATCTGTATTTTTACAGTTCGTAGCTGTATGTGGGCTAAACTGTTGCCAGGTCACCCAAACCTAGATAGGGGGACGGTTGGGGCCCTCAGCCAAGGCTTTTAGCTCAAATACCTGGCAGAAAGTAAGTGGTGGTTAGTTTAAAACCACCAAAGAAACACAACTTCTTGAGGAACAGATCACTACACATGTCCTAGTACCCAACATAGATGGACAGTAAAACGTATTAGTCTTAGTTTCGCCCATTGACGGATCTGTGAGTATCAACATGGACAGCCCCCAGCGCAGCTGATTGGCTTACGGAGACTCAGTTCATTAAGGTCTCGTTTGTTCGTGACGGAATAATAATCCTAACAATGGTTTGTCTGTGGCCCCCGTTCGGTGCATAGCTACCGTGAAACTCGAGCGAATTGCTACGAATAAATTGCTGTCAGGTTACCCAAGGCTAGACACGAGCCGAGTTTGTACCACAGACCTTGTCGTCAGTAGCCTTGTGCCTTACCCACTGAGTTCTCTGGAGCATTGAGGGATGTTTAAGTTGATAGATAATAGAACCACCATGGATAGCTTATTCTCCTGGCACTCGGTGGATTAGTGCCGTACAAGCAGTAAGGACGATAACACATACAATAATTATAGCTTTAGAACTTTTGTCGTGGTCTGGAATCCCGAAGGCGACTAGTTGTCGCTTTCCAAGTAGAAGAGGACCGCTCCTCATTGACCCGTCGCCCCTCAGATGGCGTACGGGAGTTTTTTATTAGGGATATTTGCCTCAACATAATATCCAGAACTATTTGCAAAGAGTATAGGCTCGCTGTTTCATCAAAGACCGATCACTCCTTCGCGGAATGCGCCGCATGTGCTCCTTGGTTCGCCCATGCTTGCTAGTGCTTCTGACGAGCATGTCGCCAGCTTTTCCCATCGTTTACAGAACAGATCCAACGACTCTGAATAAATGTAGCTAAAAGCACTTCCATATCGGTCGAATACGCATACCAGCCTCCACTTTACCTTTCAAGTGATGGAAAACTGAACCTATTCAACCATGAACCATACATATATGTAAGATGATGCTTCCTGTGCGCCCATATTCTTTGTTTTAATAAATATTCTTGTTCGTTTTCCAAGTTTTCACGTGGTAAGCAAGTTGTGGTATATACGTTCCAGTCCTTTTTCTATCGTCACACTTCCTCGTTCACTTTCTCCATACGTTCAGGTCAGAACGCCTCGCCAAACGGTACTGGGATAAATTATTTAAAGAGTACTGCCTGGTCGACTTGTCCCGATTCAAGGAAAACAAGGTAATTACTGGACTTCACCTTCCAGATGGAACTAATTGCATAACACTCGCTGTGGCAGATTTTGACTTTCCAACCTCACAGCTCTCACCCAAGTGTGCCCGTTTTCAATGTTTCTTCTAGTGCTTATCTTTCGCCCGGTGTGCGTTGTTTCAGCGGTATTACTCTTGGTTGGGCCGTCGGTCCACCAGCATGGTCGCATGCGTCGTATCTCAGCCAACTGCAGATTCCCCATTGCACCGCCCCAAATGAACACCTCTCCAAAGAGAGGCAGTTCCCAGGGAAGGTCAGCTATAACTCTTTATTTAGGTTGTTGTCGCCCTTTATACAATATCATGTTGTGTGGATTTAATATGTCGGTCGGTCTCCGCTCTTCTTCTTTCCGTGAGCTATCGTTCGTTCACCATTTTGGTGCCTAGCGACCAGCTATCCAAAGGAAGCACGAGGGATGAGATGCTGTCAGGCTACCCAAGTCTAGACGAGAGCAGTCGAGATGCCGTGGTCGAATTCGAACCACCGGCCGCTGGGCTCTCTGGAGCTCGCATGACGCTTTTTTGAATATGAGCCCATAACCGACGATCCATATGAGGGTCACCATATGAGGTTCCACCGTCAGGCTACCCAAGTCTAGACGAGAGCAGTCGGAGATGCCGTGTCGAATTCGAACCACCGGCCGCTGGGCTCTCTGGAGCTCGCATGACGCTTTTTTGAATATGAGCCCATAAACGATGATCCATATGAGGGTCACCATATGAGGTTCCACCAACAGTTCGCCCAGTAGTATTCGTATATGTATTATCCGTTGTACTACTAGGGTGTCTCAAACTTGCGGGATTCCAAGGAACTATAGCCACACCTCCATCGATATACAATATCTCTCCCCGGTAAAGCCTAAGCTGATAGAACACCCTAAATTGGCCAATGTACACCGGAGAAGGGTGTCTAGCTCGTTATATCCATTGCATTAACGAACTGCATCTCTTGTGTTTGTTGAGGTAGAAGTTGTGAAGGTTTATTCAGCGCAAAAGGAAGAAACCTTGATGCCGCTCCTTTAGTCTCTGCGGGCGCCATTGCCTTTTCCAGCGTCTCCAACCGGGCACAGTGGAGATCATGTGGCCTCCATCCTGGTAGGCAAGTGGTGCTGACAGTACCCAAACATTTTGCTATCTCTCTCGTACCCCTCCGCCAAATCAAGGGTTGGTTACCTCTCTGCTTCCGCTATCCTGAATCGGGCGCGGAAAACAGCGTCCGTTTCGGCAAACGATGGTTCGGCCTGCGCAATACATGGCCTAACCAACGCAGGTTCTGGTGCTGGACGCATTCTTCAATGGAAGTCGCCGTTGCACAACCGAAAACTCGTTTTCCAATTGCCTCGTGAATTTTTCGACACCAACCCACACTAGCTAAGGTTCTGAGAAATCGTTTGTCGAACACCTGAAGACGCCTCAGTTCCGTTGCTCAAAACAGGCCAATATCACAGCCATACGACAGAACAGCCCGTACCGTAGCCTGGTACACACGTTCCTTGAGATCCTGGGATATACCGCTCCGACACCATAGGTGTTTCAAATTAGCAAACTCAACCCGGGCCTGCATTCGCCTGGACCTGCGACGCAGCGTTTGGAGGCTTCAACTGAAGTTAACGTGATATGCTATGTATATATGAGTTCTTCACGGCCCACTTACGGCGAAATTCTGGTTAAACTAATTAAATGGTAAATCACTTGGCGTTGTTTCAAAAAAGCCATAATCCTCCTTTCTCGCACCCTCGCCTCGTTGACCATCTGTCCGGTTTTTGATGGAATTTAAATCGCTAAAGCCGTGAACGAATGCACAACCTTGTTTACGTTGTCATGAGACTATCATGCTACTTCTATCTCTTTATCCCAATCAACAGTTTGGCATGCGATGGCGTTTGGAAAAGGAGGTAATATCTGGAAAAGGTGAGCCTTTTGGGTACCATTTTTTGTCGCTTCTCGGAGAGAGAACGTCTCCTTTTCGATCTCGTCTCCAGTGGCTCAAAAGTGGTCCTTTCTCTAGTGAGAATCGTTTGAATCGATACATTCACGTATAACTGCGAGTTATCCAGTAACGCGCGTCCAACTCTCAGCAACGAATAAAGGTTTGTGCGATGTGTCCGCTGCTGACCCCTATACATCTTGAAAAATCGGGTGAAGTTCCTGCAGTTCTGTGTAACTCGCGTGTCTCTAGGCTCACAGTCATGTGGATCCACAGGAACTCATTTCATTGCATTCAATCGAAAGAACTCCTGTCCTTATTCGCTTCATTAAGTAATTTCACCGCCCTGGAGAACTAAGCACGTAAGTGATCCCAGTGGCATGCATGTTGTCGTCATTTCCTAGCCTGATTGCATAGCCAAATTTTGCCTACCGTTGTACGGATGGGGTTCGTAAACAACATTGGGTAAATCCTGGTGATGATGTCTTACTTTGACGTGATGATTACGTGAATTTACTCTAATACTGTTCAAAGGTGTAGGCACCTTTTTCTTAGCCGTTTCTTTCAAGGACAAGGGACTTTTTCCTGGCTTTGTGCTAGTAAGTTGCGACGAAACGATACCGCAGACTGAGGATTAGTCAGTAGCATCTAAAAAACGCACTAGACAGTTGACACCACAGGAAGAGTCATATTTCTACGCGCACAATTTGCCATGCATACACGCCAAGATACCATCGATCTCAGTAACACTCTCACTCCTTAGAGGTTGTTCTGGGACGAGATGGCCTAGTGGTTAGAACGTGAATTTACTGACCGAAAGTTCCGTGGTTCGGATCCGACTTTTACCTCTCGACTTCCCTTATCTAGGCCTGAGCATCCTGGCAGTATCCCAGCCCTCTTGCTTTCGTCTGTTGGCATGGTGGTTAGGCGCCGGAAGGATACTACAACGGAATGATTTCAAATTCTGCATAATCGATGATGGAGAGCGGTATATGTCCACAGCTCATCACCAATCACTGAAGGTGCCATTTTAGGATCTCAGTTACACTTAACAGCCACCTCAGTGCCTTATTCCGACAACCTGTTTGCTGCACAAATCTGTAGGTTACATGATCATGAAGAAACCCCCAACCCAGCGTCTCGCTCAGCTGTGAATGAGTACTTAATTTGACCCACTCATTTAGCTACTTGCACATCATAAGTAGTTGGTAATTAATTTGGTGACAGTACTTGTAATCTGTGCATCGGAACACCGAAAATCGTGTCGAACTATTGGTAGCTCACCTGCGCACTGACGATGTCTCCTCGGCTGAGAACAAAACATTTGCAAGCTACTTGTGAGGCTCGGTGAACAGATCAATTTTCAACCACCAATATCCCGGAAATTTTCGTTTTCACGCCGTACTTTCGTCCATTCTGGACCTACTTTACCGAGTTTCCATAGGCCCAATGGGTTACTTATTTTCTACAGAGTGTTAGAAACGAAGTACGGAAACGTTGAGACCCTGATGTGCTATAAACTCAACGGAATCGAGAAACCACACTGCAATTCGTAACACATGGATGCGCAAGCTTTGAAATTTCATTGACGATATCTGTCCCTGTGAAGGGTATTGCACTAGTTCACAGAACAATAAGCCCGTTGTTCCCGCAGCGAATAATGGAAACCTTATTAAGTAAACCTGAACCTTGGTTCCTTGCAAAAAAATTCGATCTGAACTTCCTGTACATTACTTAAAAAAGACACAAATGTACACCTACTACGAAAACCAACAGCCTGCCGGATTACATAACGAAATAGCAAAATTTGGATTGGAGTGTGTGGCAAAAAAACGAAACATTTGAGTGAATGTTGAAAAATGTTGATAGTTTTGATCTATGTTGGGTCTTACGTACATATCAACAAATTCTACAGCTCCTTGTGAAAGTTTTCCCCAGTGATTTTCGATAGACGTCTTAGTCAGTCACACTCCAGGCTAGTGCGGGACCAATTTCACTAGACAGTTGCTTGACAAATTGTGCTCGAGTTCGGTTTCTCGGCTGTTACGACATCCAAATGGATGCAGTTTGGGTGCAAGACTCCTGCCATTATTTTCTTCGTGATTCAAACGCCCGAGCACCCAGCGTACGGCAGTGAAGCATCGGTGTTGAACACTGATGTCGTGCTGTCGATGATGATCCTGATGCACCCAGTGTTGGTGAGTTTCACTAGGGTGTCCACTACCTCGCTCATTATGGCTGGAAAATATCTGGCAAAAATCATCTTAAAACTATGTGGTGTCGGGTGCGTGCTTTTTTTGTGCGGACCAACCATGGAGAAAGTAACTGCCACTGTTCTGACAAAAACGAGTCGAACGCACAGTTCGCAGCGCCTCAGTTGCGCAACCGCCAAATCAAGAAACGAAGAAACGCGTCGATGCTGCAAACAAGCTGACACTTATTTGTGGATTCAGTAAAACTGGGTTATCCTCTTGCAGGATTAAACAATCGTGGCGAATTAACTGATAACACATCGTGACTTTGGGTCTATGCACGCACCGCAGACATTCGAACAGTACGTTTCTCGCAAACGATGACCGCTAGATTCTGCATATTCACTAGAGTTGGGGGAGTGCTCTGGCGGATACCTATGGTACCTGAACCCCGATTGTTTGAATAGATCTACGAATACGAGGGATACAACAAACAAATGAGCGTGAAATCCGGACAGATCGGAATCGTGACTGCTCCGAGGAAATTCCCGCTGCAACAGCTGTAGTTGATAGGTTCATCGTCTCTTAACTGGCATACAGCAATTTCCGAAAGTGTATATGTGCCTGGTGGCCTTGAGTACTTCAGCTTTTATGTGATACTATTATTGATGAGCTTTTACCACACACACACACACACCAATTGATTTTTTCGTCCTCGTATTTTAGGTCAATTTACCTGTGGCAACGTTCGTTGTACAGCTGGTGCAGATGCCCGTCTGCGAAGTTGGGAAGTGAATTTCGCCTACAAGGAACGTGGTGAACATCGGAACGCCCTGGTCAAACTACGCCTGTGTCGAGATTGTTCGGACAAACTCAATTATCGGTACAAGTAAGTGTGGACTTTTTCCTAGTGCTTATCCACCTTCTTCTATGTCGACATTTACTCACAGTAGACATTAGTGTGCTGGTGCAATGTTGGTTAGTGTACTGGTGCAATGTTGGATTTACAGATGAACCAATGACAAAGCCAGCAATTGGTTGCATTTCATGCTCCAATTCCTCCGTATGCCGCCCAGAATTGTCGTCATCCTGTGGTCCTGGGAACTGGTAGGACTAAAACTCTCTCTCACCTTACACCCAAATAATAATGATAATACTGATGGATGCAGTGTACGGAAACACACATCTGTTACCTTTCACTACTATGCCACAGTCCCCTTGCTTGACTATTCCGAGAGGGCCCAAGTGGTAAAAGCGCAAATTTACTGACCGGAAGGTCTGTGGTTCGAGCCGGAACTCTACCTCTCGACTTCCCCTGTGTAGGCTTGGGCAACCTGGCAGTATCCCATCCCTCGTACTTCCTTCGGGTAGCATGGCAGCTAGACACCGGAAGGTGCTACAGCTGAACGCTTCTTCTATTCCGGTTAGTGCTTTACTCGTTTATTTCTGCTGGACCCGATGGGTGATGAGCGAACTTGTAGGATTTCGAAGTGAGATGTTAATGCCGCTAAATCCTGTTTCCAAAATAATTTATTTCGAGATTTATGTATTTGTTTTTCCGTTGGTTCCTTCTGAGATTCCCGTCGTTGGGTAGCCGTGGTTGTAGAGTCTAAATTGACGCGGATGTGCAGTGTTGACCAAGCCATCCTTTGATCTGTAGTGGAGCACCTCTGACCATGTATAATACATCACTGATGAGTCCCAACGGCTTGATAATCTGACCAACGCTGCGTGAGCAGCGTTAACAGGTAGTAGCCTATCGAGATTCGAGATCGAGTGGTACAGGAACGAAAAGAAACATACTGGAGGTTTTATCTTGTTACTGAAACGGATGTGCGCTTAAACACCCAGGAACATTTTCAGGCTCTTTCATCTAGGTTTGAGCTCTTCAGGAGTGTCAGTCCTACAAATCTCCAGAGTGAGTCTAACCCCGGATATTCCCATTAGTAGTTGAACACCACTCAGTTCAGTCATTGGAGAATGATCAGCTGGTCGAATTGAACTTATCACCGCGGATGATTCAACCGAGCGATCTAAGTCCCGTTAACTGGTCTCTCTTGGAACGTCATCCTAAATGAAAGGCTCAAACGACTTGTGAGGCGTTTTCCCTTTCGGCGCAAATTGCCCATCCGACTGAAGACCAGTCCCACTTGATGTTATTAAAGATCGAGGGATAATTTAATTAATAAGACGTCTTAGTGTAAAACCTTAATAGGTCTGAGAAAAGACTGAGTTTGGCAATACAGCATTTCTTTGCAAGTCCGCCATGTAGAATGCTCCATTTCGCTAATTACCTGTGCTTGCAAAGGTCTCTTTTGCCACTAAGTAGAGAACAATCATTAATCGCATGACCTCCAGCCCTTGACATGTGTCGGTGAACTTCGTAAAAAATCGTCCAACTGTAAGACCCTTCCGGTGCCTAGCTGCCATGCTACCTGAGGGAAGCACGAGGGCTGGGATACTGCCAGGTTGCCCAAGCCTAGACAAGGGAGGTCGAGAGGCAGAGGTCGTGTTCGAACCACGGACCTTCCGGTCAGTAACTTCGCGCTCTAACAACTTGTGCCATCCCGCCACAGTGAACTTTGTACACCTCACAATTATGTCGATTCGGGTGATGAGTTAAGTGCATTAACTGTGGTGTATAATCTACTTCAGCTGAATGCGCTGAACACAGATCGTATCATGTTTCATTTGAGACTTTTTGAGATCTCAACGGATGCTTTCATGCTAGCCAGAATGTTGATGAAATTTTTTTATGAGAATTCCTCAGTTTATCAAATATTACCCATTTAGCAAAGGTACTTTGGTAGGAGATTCTGCCGTTTCGTTCACCGGAAAATGGGAGTGTGGAGTCATAGAGGCGATGGTGGAATCAGTTTGTTCGTATTGAATCGGTCCAGTTATTTTAAAGAACCGGGAACTGGACAGCTGTGTATTGGATGTGATAGCTTTGATTCAGGTGCATCACTGGCTTTGGTTGAACCTTGTCCGCCACTGCTACTGACCATCGGTGATTTGAGTCCTGCGGTCCCCATCCATGGGGCGATATTTTGCCGACCCGACTCAGTTTACCGGTTAATGTTTCGTTCCAAGGTCAGTGTCCACCATTCGGTCGCATCCACTCAGTGTAGGACTGGCTAGAAGGAGCTTCATGAAGCAGATCATCCTTTGACGTGCGAAGTACATATCCAAGTCGGGGTCTCAATTAGCTGAGTTATTCTCAACTACTGGACACAATCGGAATGTCCAGATTCAGGTTTATCAGTTCACCGTCACTTCGCAGAGTTTACATCATGAACACAGCTGATACACGATTCCACTCAACTTAGCCAATGATATAGCATTGGATGCGCACGTACATAGCACCATTCGTTGGGTGGGTTTGAGATGGCCTCATGGGCAAGACGAGGGCGGAAGGTTGATGGTTCAAACCCTACCCACATTTCGGCTGGGTCTAGGCTTGAGCACCCTGGCAGGATCTTAGCCCTCGTGCTTTCTTCGAGTTTCGTGTTAGCTAGTTTCAGAACGGTGTTACATATCCGAAGAATCGAGTGAGGCGACGCTCGACAGCCTACTGTTTCTCGACTGCCCAGTCATTACCATTTTGTCTAACGGTTCTTATCCACATTTAGAGAGGTGAGAAATCAACAATTCCTTGGTTGTTGATCATGTGACGCTGATCTGCTCGCCGACCTTGACGAACGGGTCAACAGCCACCTGATTAACAACGAATAAACGAATATGACACATCAATATTTCGAAACATTGTCAGCCAATAGCCCCTAACGAATTGAATGACAAGAGTGGAGTGCCGTTAGACAAATTCACGAATTCGTGCTTGTTGTGCCTACAAGTCACAGATATGCTGAAGTACTTGGGAGTCATCAGCTCAAAGGAAGTGGGGACTTCTATCCCACGTTAGCAACACCTGGATAGAAACGAAACTTCAATCCCTTGATGGAGAAGCCATGCGATACGGTACTGCCATAAGCGGACACAATTAAGGACTCCTCGAACGAGGTCCCTCGGTTGACCGCGCATTTCCAGACGCAGTGGTGTCCAATGTTTCAGCAGTGGGCCTTGATCTGGGAGAACAGCAATAATTCCTACGTTTCTGGTGCTCTCAATGTTATCCCCCGCTAGCTTGTAGTATGCTGTTCGAAAGTGCCGTCCCCAGCTGCCAGTAATTCGTCATTACTACATGCTTTTCCTTAGAACAGGAATAACATTCTCAGTAGTAAAGGTTCCTCAATTTTCATTATGTAGGTTTGCTTGTGTCTTCCCTAACTGCACAACTATTTTTATCGTGTCCAAACAACACAGTGTGTGAACTGTCATGTGAAAAAGAAACTGCGGTTGACGGTGACACAACAACACGTGTTTTGTGCAAGTTAGCTGATGTAAATCCTTGCCACAGCTCGAACAAGGTCCATTTTCCTCGTAGAAGCCAATGACAGATCGGCTGTTAAAAATTTACGACAAGCGCCCAATCAGCACTTCAGGTTTTTCCCTTCGGAATGTTTCGTTGCCACTGTAATATGGATAGACTCTGAGGGGACAGAATGCAGGAAACAGCGATTCCAGTTGTTTTTACACGATGCTCGTCAACTTAGTGTCCAATCTTCCCAGAATCCTGGAAGAAACGAGGATTCAACGGAGCGTTGGGATAGCAGTAATTTCGGTTGAACGCGATTAGGGAAAAATAAACTGAATTGTGTTTGGTCTGCTTAAAAACTTGATACGCAAATTGGTGGTTTCATGAAGGAACGAGGACGATTGTTGAAACTATGTCTGGGCTTCCTACTACTTACAAATGATTTCCGATTGCTGAAACCTTTATTGATACCCAAAGGTTTATGTTCTGCGTGTAAATTCTAAGTGAATGCTGGGCAAAAAACATGTTGATAAGTGGGACCGCACAAGTTTTGATACAACTGTAGTAAAGTTCTCTTCTGTCTCCCCCAAAGTCAGTTTTGCCGCGTCATCCAACATTGTCTAAACGTTGTGAACGCTGAACAACATTTACCAAGAGCAATGCTGCCTGCTGTCTCACTACAAATAGTACAAACGACCAAGAGAGTAGATGGTGATTTGGTGAAGGCATGAGAGTGTTGTGTGGTGTCGTGGGGTCCCAACATGGGATCGGCATGTCTCCACGTGCAGGTCGAAGCGAGTCCCTACAACGGATGACCCACAACCAATCTTGGTAGTGTTATTACTTCTATTTTGTCTTATTGTGTTTAGAATCGTAGGGAACTCCGTGGTAGTCCGTCGCCAGTATTCTTATTTTTCCCCTACTTCTTCTCATTTTCATGTTGTCGTTATTGTGGGGCGACGCTTTGTGTCTTTCGATGACTTATTGGGATCGGGGAGTTTTCAGCAATCTTATGAGTAGTGCATTACAAAAATATCTACTAATCTAGTTTTTACCTACAGAGCCCCTTCTGACAGGTTACTCAAGGAGTGGAACTATGAAATACCCGATTTCACTGATATCTTGCACTGGAACAATAAAAATCGAAGGGTTTCCGTGATTCATTTTCTTGTTCAGCCCAGAGCACTGATGTTAGCGGTTTTAGTGTACCACAATGTGTATGAAGCTTCTCTTCCATAATTCAGATAGCATTATGTGAACATCGTCGATGTGTAGCTTGGTGGCCGACGGGGTTTTCAGGCTTGGAAGTCGCTGGTCGCCTGTCCTGTGCTTGCTAGATTTTTCGTCGAGAACCGGTGTGCTTTGGTTTGTTTTCATCAAACTGTCTTTCTGGGATCATTATTCCGGCTTTGGTGAGCGATCCACATTTTTAGTACTGCCCCTGTTCCACCGTGTGTGAGTAGGAAACAATTGAAATCAATTCACTAACGTAGTTTGCTATTTTTACTTTATGA